ATGAAAGAAAACATGAAAATATCACTTTTTTTTTCAAAATTAGTGAGTTTGCCAGCCCATAGGCAGTTATGAGACCTACTGGATAGGATCAGTGTATGGGCAATATCCAGGTCTGTCAAGTTGTTAAAGTGCTACCAAGACTGCCAAGCAGCAGCAAGTCACTGCTACCCAGCAATGCAAAGCTGCAGAGTTGTCTGGCTGTTACTCTGGTGGCCTTGGTGTTATTCTACTAAAATATGGAGGGACCATACTGCAGTCACTTCAAGTGATCCACAACATATTCAACTGGGTGTAGTAGCATACATGCTACTTTGTGAGTTCTGGCAAGCTACCAGCCTACTGGACAAGAGTCTCTAAGACCATGTGGCTGGCACTGTATAAACCTCAATATCAGAAACTAATTGTTCCTTTCTTGTCTGCCAAGAATGCTGATAGTGTCCTATCCCTTTCTATTCTACAGCAACTGGAGTGTAACATTTGTTGTACCACAGATGGTGCTATTAGCACCAAATAAGCCTTTTGACCTCAATTACTCAGCCTAGTACATATTACTGTATGGCTGGCCAGATATCAATAATACCCATATTGGTGTAGCCATCAACTATATCTACTGTATTTATTGGAGAATCCTATTTGGGTTTGCTCTTATGTGCCCATTATACACACCAGCTACTCTGAAACTGCCAGTCAATCATCAACTGGCTCTCCTCTTCATTCATCCTAGCATATACCAAGAGGCCATTGCAGCACATAACATGCTGCACTCTGACTGGCCCTTTGTGCCCATTGAGTAGAGAGGAGCTTTCTCTCAATTAGGTATACCTACCTGAGACCTTCATCCAGAACTTCTGTGATGTGGATGCTATTTGTATCAACATGCAAAATCACATCTCAGTTGAGTGGGTGGACCATACATACACTTACACAGTATGCTCTACCTGAAACATCAGTTCCTTAACCTCAATACATCTATCAACATCTACCAACATGTCAACAATGAGCATTGTGAGCATTTGCTCACCTATGGGACCCCTGTTGCCATTGCTAGCTTGGATAGGTGGTCTTAGCCTACAATAGACAACCACTATAAACTTATGGTGTACATATGCAAGAAGCACCATGCTTGCAAGCTCAAACCTGATACCAACACCCTCTATTACTCCATTGGCATAGATCCCAATGTGGATCACTTGCATATATATCTCCAGGAGCCATCTCCTCTTCCTTCTCTAACACCAAGCCCAACAATTAATTTTGTCAGCAGCCCAATGGGAGAGGAGGTGGTAGCTTCATTATTGTGAGCCCCCTTAGCTGATATCACTACAGCTTTACTTGCTATGACTAACATTGCAGGCAATATGGAGATGGAGTTGGGATAGATACTGATGCAAGAGTCATGGAGTGGAATGCTATATGTGTTCCTCTAAATATTATTACCATTACTACTGTATGGACTGGACACCAACTTCAGTGGATATTACTACTTCATCATGTTCACTTTTATTTTCCCCACTTTATGTACTTATTGTGCACAAAAAAAACTTACATATGAAGTTCATTGTATACCTCTATGCTTAGACCAGATAATTTGGTCTCAAAGGGAGACATGTAATGAGCATGTACACTGATGCATTCTATTTACCATATAGATACTGTAAATAGTCTTGAAGCTTACATGACTAATCATACATATATTGAACTTAGTCACATTTATAATCTTTAGTATACATTTATTAATTAGACTTTAGAGTACAAAATCCTACAGTCTGGTTTACTCTGAGTAACTTGAGACACTTAGTATTACTCTAGCTGTAGCTGCTGCTACAGCTCATTATGCATATTTTCATTATACACTAGTCAATCTGAGTTTGTTTCTCCAGGTCTCCAGTGTCTGCAATACTAAGGCCCTATTACTTCCTGCCTTGGCTAGACTAAGCACCTAAATTTGCCTCTGCTCATAATTTACAAGATCATATGTGACAGTTATGTCATTCAATCTCTCATGTACTTTCTTCTTCCTAATATATAATTCCCCTCATAATTTTGGCTATGCTATGTCCATCCTCCCAAGAACATATCAGTGTACTTTAGGTATTTCTGCATCTCTTCCAAACTGACAACAACTAGTCAGATAAAGGAATCTTCTGTAGTGGTGGTGGCATAGAGAGTTTCACCAGATGTCATGCTTATTGGAGCAATAGTCATTGATATCTGGAGATACTGGGAATAGTATAGGTTCAAAACAATGCAAGTCCACCTTGCTGTACACATGGTTAGCCCAGACCACACAATCCTACCACACACTAGTTATTCTCTCTGTCATTAAATCCTCTGTTGACAATACTCTGTTGACAATCCTGCTCAAACTTACCTGGCTCCATTCAGATGCAAGTTGTTTGCACACTCTAATTGTGAGCACTGAGAGTTATTAGTGAAGATATCTTGGAGAATGCCATAGCCACAACTGAATTGATAACTTAAACCTCATTTATCTTTCTTTTTATTCCATCCTCTGGTCTTTAAATAACCTGCTACTGCTTTGCCACTGATTATACAAGTTGGCATTTCTTATCCTAGATTTCATGCTCAAATACAACATAAAAATTTTACAGCATTAGTATCACTTGATGCTCTTAATATAGAAACATAAGTCTGTTTTGCATATATTTGATGCTGATGCCCCAAGGACATGGCCTTAATATAGTCAGTAACTTGACTATAATGTCAGACTTTGAAGGTATCTTCTGGGTTCTTCAAGTTGCTTTGTATAGTAGGCCTATGCCTATTCTCCCAAGATGCAGTTTGTTTTAGTTGGAATATCAGGTAATCTGGATATATCCACCTTGGATGCCAGAATTCAGATTCAGTGTCAGTATAGCTTTACACAGTCTTTTACATAGCATATTAATTGTAGTTAGTAAGTATATATACTGAATAGATTGGAGCCTAACTCCCTATGAGTTTGTCTTATCTAGTAGTCTAACAGCCTGGTGGTGCAGCTAGAACCACTTATTATTCCAACTGTTTTGACTGTCTATTTCTTTGCCAAACTAAATGGGAAGAGTAAGACATTATATGAAATAAGTATTGGCATAGTGAGTCTACCTATATGTTGTATCAATGGACATATAGTTGAAACTCAATCTAGCAGATCACAGAGATACAATCAGTGACATGCAAAGAAAAAGGCATCTGACAATTTGGAGCAATTTGGGCCTAAAAATAAAACCTTGTCAGGACAATGTGAGTCACAGCCACCAGGACAATTGGATGCTGTTTTTGAAAGGGCAAGAATTAGCTCAATGAAGGGCTGAGAGCTATGGCAAAACTTATACACACTATAGACATGATGAGTGCTACTATTTTATCCAACCTAAACAAGTTCTCCAAATATAATTATACACTTACCTAGCAGTTGGAGGCCCATAGACATCCTTAATATGATGTGGCAATGTGGCAAGGAGTAGTGTCATATGGTGTCACAGAGTGTGCCACTAAGCCTCTACCCAAAACATGTTGGAGATGTGCACACTAATAGTCACCATAAGAGATGGAATGGGTCAGACAGGATTAGATATTTATCAAGTATGTACACATTGTGTATATATACTGCTATGTGTATGTACAATCAGGCCATGATGCACTATTCCATGTGGCCCTCCTTCACAAAGCAACATCCTTGTTGCATCAGAAACAAAACCTAAGCTCCTTAACCTTGATGCAGAACTTTGCAACTGCAAGTGCAACACAGATCCATCTTGGTATCCTGAAGCTGCTTGAGTCAAACTGACACTTTGAAACCATACAAAAATAGAAGTGCAGAGGGTACCTGACTGCACAGCCATAATCTGCCCCTCTCCAACATAGTGATGTCCTTGTCACATCCCACAACAACTGTGTCCTCCTAAACTTGCAGACTCTAGCACCAAAAAAAATAGTTCAAAAAGTAGTAGCAGTCATCAGGTAAAAATTGGTTGTAAAAGCAGATAGTACATGGAATAATGATGAGATTGAGGATATCCAAGAGGCAGCATGTGAGTTTGTCAGTGGAAGAGTATGAATGGTAAAACATGTGGGTCTGTATCAGAAATAATGCATTAATGATGCCTTCATTAACTAAAAGTAAACAGTATTGGAGCTGGCATATGCTGCAAACAGCAAATGAATCCCTGCAGGGTTAGCAGACAATGTGGATCACCACAAATTTGCTCTGCATTTTTGCAACAAGCTCCCAGAGATGAATGTAAGGCCTGAAAGATGAGCAGGAAAGTAATCCAGTCCTGGAATGGAGTCCAAAATTCCTGTTATCACCAGACAGAGATGCACATACTGATAGCCACCACAGAGATGGAAATTCTAGGGAATAGCATGGTTTTTTCACCATTTTGATTTCCACATCCCCTAGAAGGTGTAATGTGTCATGAAATTATCAATTTTAATATCAGAAGTCATATAAAAGTTTTTTCACCATATCTCAGTCAAATCTTGTCCAAATTAAATAATCCAGAACTCATTGAAAAGAAAATCATTGTGGCTATACCTGCAGATACACAAGTATAGTATGCAGATGGTGATTTGCTTTCCAATGAGTCCTGGATTATTCAATTTGGACAAGATTTAACTGAGATATAGTGAAAACACTTTGATATGACTTCTGATAGTAAAATTGAGAATTTTATGACACATTACACCCTTCAGGGGCCATGGGAATTGAAATGGCAAAAAGCCCATGCTATTACCTAGATTAAATGGATCAGGAAGGATGAATGTCTATCAGGTATATATACATTGTGTACAGTGTATATATACTGCTGCCATGTATGCATGGACCAGGTCATGATGCACTGTTCCAATATGATAACAAAGAGATTCTTGAGACTCAATTGCAAGTGCTCCAGATAAGTAACTCATTTATGAGCAGTATGTAGCTTCAACCAGCTAGCAGACAGCCCAAACTATCTCCTCTCAGCTCAGTAGTATAACCAGGAATCAAATGATATGGGGTCTTGGCACAGTGGTAGCACACATGCTTTGTACTATTAATGGACTTGCATGAGGTCATGAATTCAATCCTCACAGGCTCCAATTTCTAACTTAGGACACAAAATCTTTTTCCATCATCATGGATGAAGATAATGTATGCTGATTCTTCCACTTTCTAGCTAGATACAATGCACTACACATTCTAATCAAAAGCCCAGTTACTCAAAGAGTGCATCATGCAACACGAAAAACATTTCCTTAAATATTGGGTTGGAGCCTTTGAGGATTGAAACTCACAACCTCATGCAAGTCCACTAATAATGCAAACCATGTCCACTGCCACCACACCAAGACCCCAATTGTTCACTGAGCCTCTTGTAGAAGTCCGAGTCTCATTCATACTTATGTACTACAGTTGCCTCTGTCATAACCCAGAGGGGGTAAAACCCATACTCTCTAAAACCTCATGGGTTTTTGTGTTGATCAGTTGATTGACTTGGTTTGCAGGAAAATGCAAGCCATAACCTGTACTCTCTCAAATACCATAACCCATAGGCTCTTGGACTCAACCCCCATACTTTTATTGGTTGCCAGGTGGCTTGGCTGGACCTTTATTGTTAGGATTGGACCAAGTAACAGTTGTATATGGATTTTTTTCATATTCATTTCAGTGTAACTCAAACAAATGACTCTAAAACTTCTTGAAGTTCTAAAGAAAGGCCTCAAAACCCTCAGGAACAAAGTCAAAGCTAAGAAAACCAAACTCAAAATGTTACTTGTCTGAGCAGAAGTCTATTTTGAGTACACTTCTCAATGCACCTACCAGTAATCACATTGAAAGCCTTGAGAAGGAGGTTGAAACCATTCTCAATGAGCTGCAAGCAAGCAGCACACTTCAACCCCAAAATAGAATGGCTATCAAGGAACTCCTCAATCTGATTGATGAGATCAAATGCTTGCATAAATCCACTGACAAGGACATTTGCAAGGTGGTCCTTGGATGCCCAACAGGCTGCAGAGGATGCTTTGATCAATGGCAGGGATGATGATATTGATGACAATGCAGACAAACCTACCAATGCATTTTTGCAATGTGATTTTCTTAAATTATCCACATCAATCATAATCTACCTTAATGGCATTAACACCCCACCCCTTGCAGAGTAGAAGCTGATCTTGTGTCAATCATAGTGATCATTGCAGGTCTGGGTAACCCATATGAGTACAGTCATGAGTAGATGCAGGTAGGGGTATGGGTTCAAAATTAGTTACCTGTTGGCATACTTGTACCCTCAATGCAGGTATGGAGGGTATCACCATGTATGACAACATATTTTGCACAGCATATTGATATGTGATCACTCAATCATTTCAAAATGAGTTACATTTTTTTTTCTCAATTGCTCTATTGAAGGTCATAGCACAGACCCAGAAATTATTGTAGATGCCATTCAGTGGTGGACTAAGCAATGCAGTATGTATCCACAGCTCTCAATTATGGCCCTCAACTATTTATCAATCCCTGGTAAGCATTGACTTACTCATACATCACCTGCTAATCACGTCATTATTTTTAGCTATCCCAGTTGATGTTGAATGTGTTTTTAGCCGTGGACACATTCTATAGTCTCACCTTCATAATTGTCTCTCTCCTAGGAGCACTCAGGCTTTGCTGTGTCTTGGAGATTGGGTACAAAAGGGCCTGATTATGGACAGGGATTTTATGATAATCAAGTCAGGGGATCCGACCACAGAGGAGGCCGTGAATGTTATTAATTAATCATATTACATTTCTCCTTTAAAATAATCACATTGCACATAGACATATACAACATAAACTACCATTTATTATACTTTTCAACTGTACACCTTGCAGGAAAGTTGTCCACCTTGCAGGACATGGTATCCATCAACCCATGAAAGACCCTTACCCATACCCGCACAAATCTGATACCCGTTTGAAGGGTATGGGTTTTGACGGGTATGGGTACGGGTCCATCAAAAAATACCCAAGGGTTACCACTAGTCAATCATGAGGCAGATGCATTGTTTGGAGCTTGATAACATGCTTCCCTCTAAGATAACTGACTATTTCACTTCAACATAGCTCATTGTCCTTTAGAACACATCTAGAACATTGTACAATACACTAACAATGGTTAATATATTTATATTCCCATTTTTAAGTATATATATAACCTCTCTGTGGTAACCCATACTCTCTGATAACCCATAGTTATAGGTGTAAACTGAGAGGTATGGGTTATGACAGAGGTGACTGTAATGCTATCAAAAATAATAAAAGACTGTGTTGCATAAAGAATAGCGACTTGTCCAGGTAATCGTTGGTTGGACTAGTCTAGGTACTTGGAAAATCAAATGAATAACAAATGCCCAGGCAAGCCTTCTGTGAGCAGAAGTCATGGCCACCAGTATAGTTGTGAGTGCACAACGGCCAATCACTTAAGTATGCCAAACCTGGGAACCACCTGACAGCGAACAGAACGCACTGATCACAATGTGGCGTCGATTTCCAAAAATGAGCTGAACAAAACCAAAAATTGATCAAAATACATGTTTGTGAAGACATTTTTGGAGCCTGTGGGATTGAACTGACGATCCCCGTAGCTCAAAGGTCTTGAATGGACATTACAACAGAGCTTCAAGTTGTTGATAAGAATGCTGACTGTTGACTTTTGCCCTGTCTTGTAGACTTGCATAAGTATCTAGTCCTCAGTTCAATGTAATGAACTCAGTATATTGACCCTGTAGACTTGCGTAAGTATCTAGTCTACAAGGTAATCGGTAAATGCTGTAAGTAAAATAATAATAGATGTACCCTCAGTTCAACATAATGAACTGAGGGTCTCCTAAAATAGCAACTATCTATTTTATATAATGCAGCTGTGGCTGCGTAAATACTGTACAGTACCGATCGAGAAAATGGTGGCTTGGACGGAAAAGGAAATAGGTAATAAAGTACGCTTTGGCCGTGGCGTGGATTGAACCCGCGCTCTCAACCCTGGTGGGGCGAGTCTCCTTTCAACACGTCTGTTTTACATTTGTACCATCTTTTTTCACAGCTCGACCAAAGCCATTTAGAGATTAGGTTTCATGTGAGATACTTACGGTCACGGCATCTTGATGTTTTGCTTAGACTCAGATTTTCTTCCGAATTGAATCTTATCAAGATCAGCGTAGTCTCGAGGCAGACGTTACAGAAAGAGTACACTGTCTGGGTGTAATACTAACCGTTACTCATTACCTGCCTCACACTTACCCAAAACAAACACCTCCGGTTGCTTCATCAAACATCAAAACTCGCTCATTTGACTAAGACTGGTTCGAGTCTATAGTCAGCCGGTAAATACCAATATACAGAGTTGAATATTGTCTTTCGTACTGTGCAAGACTGTGCATTACACTTGAATGGAAGTATACATCAGACCATGGATCAGCTTGGATCAGACACAATGACTTTGAAATATATGACACATATGTATACAAAAATTTCCTTTCTATGCATTTGCGTTTTCAAAACGCCGGAGAAACTCATGAACCACTGGAACTATGACCGGACCCTCAATCTCCTGCCTGACATCAGAAAGAAGTTGCTCTACTTCTTTACGCTTCTGCCGCTCGAGTACGAGTTCAGTCCTGGCTTTCACAAATTGTGCGCAAAGACCTGTTTATGAAGCTGTGTCAGGGATCTCGGTTGGCATTGTCAGCGGAGATGAATCTACCTTCCTTGGGTTCCACCGAACTCCCAAGCTTGGCCAGCTGCGCCTCGACAGTCACGGCCCGAAGGATCGCGGACGTTAATATCTGGCTCGCGGTCGGAAGGTCCGCTGCAGGTCCAAATGCAGGAACCGGCTTTGCAGGAAGGGAGTAGAAAGGGCCTCCGGGTTCCCTTGGCTCGTGACCTTGGATGTCCTGCTGCAAAGATAGATTGATATCCTGCACCGAATGCATCAGCATCTCTAGGCGGCTGAGTGACCTTGTTGAACCCCAGATTGCACCATTTTCAAAAGCTCCTGCTTGTAAGGCAGGTGGTCGGAGGCCCGCATGGAGACCAGAATGGTCCCGCGAATGATGTGAGGTTGGGCTGCGGCGCCCCCAGCTGGAAGTCCGAAAGGAAAGGGGACGAAGGCTAGTGGATGAAACAGTTCCGAGTCGGCGTGCATGATGACTAGGATGGTCCAGCTCGCATTGTGGGATTGAACTGCGGAACCTCTTTCGCTCACGGCTTGGACTACGAGGATCATCATAATAAGGTGAGGCCGTTCGATACTCCCGATCTAGAGAAGACCCTCCATGGTGATTGTCGCCACGACTGTGCACAGGGCTACGAGAGGTCGAACGTCGATCTCGTAAGCTGCTGGAATAACGTTGCTTGTGTTTCCGTTTCTTATGCTTGCGACGTTCTTGGAAGTGCGAGATCGCTTGCTTTCCACGGATGAAGAATGATAGTATTGACGGGGCAATTTTCTGTGTTTGCTGTGCTTTTGGCTTCGCTCGGAGTTTTCACATCTGAGGAATGCGTGTCGGACAGGGGACTGTTCGTTCGATGAGCATCGATGTCTGGGCCCAAGAGAACGAGAGCGAGATTTAGAGATCCTACTCTTCCTTTGCGCTCGACCTCGCTTGGGGCTGTTGGATAGTCGGGTGCTGGGCGTATCATATCGTGAGAGCTGATAGCTTGGAGCATAGTCGTGACGAGGTTAAAGTATAAATTCTTTGCCACCGTTGAATTCTAGAGAAGATGAATCGTGTCGTTCATGTCCAAATTCACCGGCCTTTCCAGCAGCACCTGATAATTTCATGATCTGCCAACAGTCAGAGAAGGCCTGTTGCTGAAGTGCGTGTGCATTGCGTTCCTTTCGCTTCTGCTTCTTTATCTCATATCTGCGAGCCGCATTGCAAAAGACTTCATGATGAGAAAGATTGATACTGTGGTAATATGGGGAGTGTGAGTAACTAGTTCACATGAGATGAGAACAAGCTCACGCTTACATATGGCATGTTTGTTTGACACGTCTAATATCTGCACTTTCTTCCTACTGACTGATGACCCTCTTAACACATGTATGCAAAGTCTAACA